AATAGCTTGAAGGCGGAGTTATTTTTTAAGGTTGTAAGTGTTTCAAAACGTCTTAGATTATTTTTAGATTTAAAAAAATCACTAGAGGTCTAAGATGCAGAATTACTTACAATGGCAAAAAAAGCCATACGAAGCGAAGTTACAGTAGAAGAACATTTCAGCAAAATAGTTATGTGAAGTTTTTTAAACCCTTCCAAAAATTCGTAAGCGACAAGGAAAAAGATAGTTTACTTTGAAACAAAGCAAACAACTAAAATTTCAAAGAAAAGGTTTCATTGAACTCCAAAAAGTGATATAACTTATTTGCTTTTTCTGAACTTCTATAAAAAGTGTGCAGACATAGATAACTCAAATATACGCATATGTGAGCGTTTTTTCGTCACTAATAACTTAGGTTTGGTTGGAAATGATTGCCATAATCGAAATCAGCAACTCAAAGAACCCCTAACTGAGGGTTTTTATCTATAATTGTTAATTTTTTACACTGAACTTCCATTTCGCATTACTTCCAAAATTATGCTTCATTCCTAACGTGCGCAGTCCGGCAACGCAACTTGACCTCTAAGAGAATGCGCGCACCTCGCTGGATTGAGGGTGGGACTAATGATATTCCAAGAGCAGGCATCGCTTACGGTACTAATTATGCGCAGCGAGACACCTGACAGCTGATCTCCTATGGGTATACGGAGGTATATGTAAAGGGTATCTAAGTACTTTCACCTTCTTGAATTCTGTCATGAACACATTTACATATCAATCAATCATGAAGATAATCTCATCTATGCCATATCGTCATGACGTTTAGGTCTGAAAAGCAAAAACGACTCAATGTAATTCTTGCTCGACAGCCGCAAGCTATTCAGGTAAATTATGTATGTGCTTATTGCAACAATGCAGAAATAATACAGGCATAAAAATTGCAGAACTTGTACAAGACAAAAGTGGAGAGAGAGCAAGCCGAGCGGGAAAGAGAAACAATTTACAAGCAAACACTAGCGGAAGGGAGAGGTCTCGGTAATTACCAAAAACAGATGACTGCTATCGAAAATGACATGAGCATATCATCAGCGGAAGCAGATCAGAGAGAGTACCAAGTATGCTTAAGGACACTATCACGCAAATTATAATCTAAGTACTGTTGTATTTTTAGTTGAAACGTCAGTACCACACTAGATACCCAGCTGCTGGACGGTTACACGATGACGATGATGATGATGATTTTGATGATGATGACTAAGATTTATCAAAAATATCTGTCACTACTATTATTCATAATAAAAGAATTGTTCTAAGTATGTTGAAGTAGGTTACAACGATGATTATTATCGCAGTT